AAGTAAAACTATTATATACCTATTTTTTTGTCTACAACTTTTATGATAAAAAACCATAATGATTTTTTCATATTTAAAAAAAAATGCTGAGGGGCAAAAAGAGCATGTATCCAACAACATGTTGTACCAGCTTAAAGAAAAGTTAAAAAAAATCAACATACAGAAGCAAAATGATCAATTTTCTTTTGAAAAAATTACATAAAGAAAAAAAGTCAAACCTGCAAGCCATTCAGAGCAAAATATATGTTTATAAACATAGTAAAGACAAAATTATTTTAAAAAATAATCTATAGGCTAAAAACAAAAGGAATTTTTTTTTTTTTGGAAAAAATTATGGGTCATAAGATGTAGCAGACACTTCATTAATAAGGAAGTTCTCATCTTCTCCTTTCTAGAAAATTTTCAGATTTTCACACTGAAATAAGCATGCTCTAGTCCTCCCAGACAATAAAGAAACATTGTCTTAATTTTCCTCTTCTCTGCCCTTTTAAATGTGCCTCACCTTCTATAGGAGTCCTTATATGTTGGCTTCTTGGTGTCTTTCACATTTCCACTTGTTGAAAACACAAAATGGAGATATCTAGGAACACTAAATGAGGAATCGGTGATGTGGCACTATGAATAAAGACCTTTCAGGGATGAAAAGGAACTGTATGCTTTAAATTATGTCTTTGTATTTAGACCTGTGGGGTTTCAGCATGCTCAGCTGTTGATTCACTCTATTAATTCGATTTGGGAGCCTAGAAGCTGGAGGAGACGACCTAACAAAAGGAGCTAGCTATGGAACTTTTGTTTAGATGGAGAATCAAGCAAAAGGAAATATCAATTTCCTGAAGTTAATGTTTAGTCAACCAGAGAAATTTCTTCAATGCATAGCTTAGATTTAAATTTGCTTTTATACAACTTATAAAAAAACTTATAAAAAAACTTACAAAAATCCAGATATATGGATTATATATAATCCATACTCCTAATAAGAAAGGAAAGACTGTTTAGCCAGGCCTGATCTAGGCTTATCTTGTTGTCATCAAGCTGTAGCTCCATTCCACTGACCTCTGTTTTACCCAGAGATGAGCCCCTAACTGGAGCTGATACTATGCACAACTGCAGGGAGTCATATTCACATAGACTATATGAATGATGCAGTGGGAATGCTGCTCCATGAAACAACACTGAGGTAACTCTTGCTAGAGGAAGTCTCAGCTTGCTGTGCTGCTGAATAATTCTCATTCAGGGAGGAGACATTCTAAACTTAATTGCTAGAGTCTGCAATGAACTGTGAAAAACTGGATAAGCAGACAGCATTTTTTTCTAAGACCAGTAATGTATGATTGTCATTTATTTAATGAACTGCAGGCTCTGAAAGAGAAGCTTAATTTACTAATCCCTCAAAACCTACAGGACTTTTTGGGTCTTAACCCCCCCACCTGCTCCTTTTTTGTCTCACTCTTCTCTGACTTTGCATATTGTCTTTCCCTTCTCCCTAACCTTGTGCACATCCTTTTATTTGTACCTTTCATCCTCAGTATGTCTCTTCCCTCATATCTTTTCTCTTTCCTTTTGTTCTCTTTCATCTTTATTTCTGCTTATTGCTCTTATTTCTCCATTTGCTATTTTTTCACACATTTCCTCTATGTCTACTTTCTCTCTGTCTCTCTCTCTGTCTCTCTCTCTGTCTCTCTCTCTGTCTCTCTGTCTCTGTCTCTCTCTCTGTCTCTCTCTCTCTCTCTCTCATCTCTTGTGTCCCAGCAGGCACTATTGATCTCCACCTGCCTTTTCATCACCTGTATATACTTTCTCTTGCTTTTTCTTAATCTGCTTTTGTTAACATTGATTTTTTTCTATTTTTCCAGTTTATTTTTTTCTATCCCTTTCTTCAACTGTCCATGACACAAAACCAAAGTACACTTTAATGTCCTCTTTGTGGCTCCAGATGAATTATTCTTCCATGTCTGTCTTTCAGAATATACAGAATACATTCAGAGACTCTACATTCCAATACCCAGGCCACGTAGAACTGCCATTTTCATTGTATCTTGATTGTGTTACAATTTTATAAAAATGTAGGAAATACACAAGTAGTTTTGCAGTATTTATTTCTGCACACAAGACTACTAAAGCCAGGCTGTGTGATCCTTAACCCCAAATCTATATGTCTTCCTCACTGATTTTAGAATTATTGAAAAAAATGCTTAAAACTATTTCAAAACTCAAACATTTTTCTGTTGACTATTTGTGAACACAAAAGAAAGCCTGCCCATCAGCCTTGCTGCGCTCAATTATAACAGCTGCAGTAAAGTGTGCCTTTTGGCAGCAACACTCATATGATTTTGGAACTTAAATAATAATTTAGACAAATGCCAAGGAAGAAAGTTTCCCACATGATTTAGCACCTTCTTCAAGAAATTAGAAAATTAACCACAAAATAGACCAAAGAAGTAACAAACTCATATAAATAAGCACAAAAATATATGAGTTAGAATCTAGAAGCTGGTCCATTGAAAAAAAAAAAAAAACATAAAATAGATTTAGCATCTAGCTAAACTAACTAAGGTGAATAAAAAGAACAAAATTCAAATACACAAAGTAAGAACTGGTTAAGGGCAAAATAATACAGAAACAGAAAGAATTACAGGATCACAATAGACTGCTTTGTTCAATTATGGCCAAATAAATTCTGAAAAATGGGATGGAATAAATAATATTCAGAGAAAAGATAATGTTAAAATTGTTAACATTGACTTAAGAAAAAGAAAGATCTAAATAGACTGATATTCAGGATTGATATTCTAGATGATTTTAAGGCAGGGCTTCCAACAATCAAAACTGAATGTTGCCGTACATGTGCATTTGGGCTGAATATCAATCTTGTCAACAGCCATAGAAAAAAAATTTTGACAAAGAACTACCTTAGAAGAGGCATAAGGTACTGATGATTAATGTTCAACATCACTAATCATCAGAGAAATTCAAATTAAAATGTCAATGAGATATCATCTCATCCCACTTAAAATGGCTTCTATTCAAAAGACAAGCAATGATGAATGTTGGTGAGGATGTGGAGAAAGGGGAACACTCATGCATTGTTGGAAGAAATATAAATTAGTGCAGCCACTATGGAGAACAGTATGGAGGTTCCTCAAAAAAACAAAAGCAGAACTGCTATATGTTTCATCAATCTCACTGTTGGGTATACACCCAAAAGGAAGAAAATCAGTATATCAAGGAATATTGCACTCCTATGTTTATCACAGCACTGTTACAATAGCCAAAATTTGGAATCAACCCAAATGTCCATCAATAGATGAACAAATGAAGGAAATGTGGTATATATACACAATGTAATATTATTCAGCTATAAAAATGAATGAAATCCTGTCATTTGCAACAACATGGAGGGAACTGGAGGCTATTATGTTAAGTTAAATAAGCCAGGTCAGAAAGACAAATACTGCATGTTCTCATTCATATTCAGAAGTTAAATAAATATTGAACTCATGGAGATGGAGGATGGCTACCAGAAGTCAGGAGGAGTGGTGAAGAGTGAAGAAGGAGGGAGGGATAAAGAGAAGACGGTTAAATGGTTATATATATATACACACACACACATATAAATATATATACATATATAAATATATATATACGGAAAGAGAGAGAGAATTTGGTAGGAGGAGTAAGATCTGATGCTCAGTAGCACAACAGGGCAACTATAGTTAATAATTTATTGTATATTTCAAAATAAAAGGGTGGAGTTGGAATGTTCCTAACACAAAGAAATGACAAATTATTAGAGTGACAGATACCCTAATTACTCTGATTTGATCATTACACATTGTATGCTTGTGTTAAAATATCACGTATACTCCAAAATTATGTACAACTAGTACGTATTCATAATAATTAAAATTTTAAAAAGAGGGAATTCTAACATAGCTTGAAAGAGTAGATTATTCTGAGCTTCTGAAATTATTTTGGAACACAGAAAAAAAGTTCCAAAGAATAACAATGATAGCAAAACTTGACAAAAATTAAACAGGAAATACATAATTATAAACAAATATTACTTAAGACTACTTATGAAAAATTTCTAGATCAATCATTAACAAGAGGATCTAACAGGACACTATTAGACTATTATGTAATTATAAGAAGAGTTTTGTTTCATCCTGTATTGCTGCTTGAGAAACATCCCAAAATCTAGTGACTTAAAATAATAATGGGCTGGGCGCAGTGGCTTATGCCTGTAATCCCAGCACTTTGGGAGGCCAAGGTGGGTGGATCACCTGAGGTTGGTAGTTCGAGACTAGTTTGGCAAACATGGAGAAAACCCATCTCTACTAAAAATACAAAATTAGCCAGGCGTGGTGGTGCATGCCTGTAATCCCAGCTACTCAGGAGGCTGAGGCAGGAGAATCGCTTGAACCCAAGAGGCAGAGGTTGTGGTGAAACAAGATCGCACCATTGCACACCAGCCTGGGTAACAAGAGCAAAACTCCATTTCAAATAATAATAATAATAATACAATAATGATCTGCTGTTCTAATCCTGTAGGTCAGGAATTGGGGTAGGGCTCACTGGGGGTTGCTAATCTACACACTAAACAGTATTGGCTGAGCTCATTCATGCAGGTGCATTAAGCTGAGAGCTGGGCTGGGCTGTATGGTCCAAGATGGTTTCCTAGTATGTCTAAGGCCTTGTCGTGGGCTGCCAGCTGGGGCACTGATTCTTTTCTATGTGGTCTTTCTCTTCAGGTGACCTCTCATCCCCCAAGACCTTTCTCTCTCACGGATCTCACTGATGATTACTGACATTGAACGTTGTTGTATATACTTACTGCTAATTGTATATCTTCTTTAGAAAAATATCTATTCAAGTTGTTAACCTATTTTTAGTAGATCTGAGAGTTTTTTGGCTATGGAATTGAAGAAATTCCTTATATATTTGGAAATTAAACCCTTGTCATAAATATGGTTTGCAAATATTTTCTCCTAATCTGTAGAATGACTTAATTTTGTTGATTGTTTATTTTGCTTTGCATTAGACTTTTAGTTTGATGTAGTTCTAATTGTTTTTGTCACCTGCAGTTTTAGTGTCATATTCAAGAAAATATTGTAAAGACAAATGTCAAGAAGTTTTCGTTCTTTGCTCCTTTCTAGGATTTTTAGTTTCATGTCTTACATTTAAGTCTTTAATCCATTTGGATCTGCTTTCTGTGCTTGGTGTAAGAGTTCAATTTCATTCTTACACATGTGGATATACAGCTTTCCTAGCACCATTTATTGAAGAGAATCTTTTTTCCCTGTTATATATTCTTGGAAACCTTGTCAATGATTAATTGACCATATGTGCATGAATTTATTTCTGGTCTCTCTATTCTGTTTCATTAGTCTATACGTCTGTCTTTATGCTAATACCATACTGTTTTAATTACAGTAGCTTTGTAATATATTTTGAAATCAGAAAGTGTGATGCCTGCAGGTTTATTCTTCCTTCTCAAGATTGATTCGGCTATTCACAATCTTTTGTGTTCCCATATGAATTTCCGAATTGTTATTTATATTTATTTAGAAAATGTCATTGTGATTTTCATAGCATTGAATCTGTGAACATTTTAGCAAGATTAATTCTTTCAACACAGGAATACAAACTGACATTCATTTATGTATTCTTTATTTCACCAAGGTTTTGTGGTTTTCAATCTAGAAGTCGTTTACATCCTTATTTAAGTTTATTCCTAAGTTTTTTATTCTTTTTTGTACTATTGTAAATGAAACTGTTTTCCTAATTTCTCTATCGTATAGCTCACTGTTAGTGTACAGAAATGTAATGGATTTTATTTGTTGACTCTGTATCCTGCAACTTTAATGAATTCATTTATTACTTCTAAAAGTTTTTTGGTGGAGTCTCTAGGGTTATATATATATAAGGTCATGTCACCTGAAAACAGGGACAGTTTTTCTTCTTATATTCTGATATGGATGCCTTTTATTTTTTCTTGTCTAATTATTCAAGCTAGGACTTTAACCAATAGAAAACTGGTTAAATAAATTATGATATATCCATAATAAGGAAAACTTGTCTGTTTAAAAAATGATAATAATTAGAAAATTTTCCATGTATTGGAATGGAAAAATGTACCTGAAATCAGGTTAAATGACAAATGCAAGATGCCAAATACTATGTTTACTATGCTAACTTTCATGTTAAAATGAAGGGGAAAAAATTAAAAATACTAATAATGTATTATATTTCCATTTTATAGACCCTGAAAGGACACACAAGAAATTACTGATGTTATTACCTAGGATAGGGAGAGATGAGGGGGTAAATCAGGGAAGGAAGGGTCTATAATCTAAAGAGGCTTTGACTTTTTACCTTTAATATATAGAAAGTTGGAGCATTTTTCATGAAAGAGAATATGTATAAGAGTTCTTAAAACTGGGGAGATCCTACAAAGGAAAGAGAATCACATATTATACTAGACTTTGCAAACACAGTAATATACTGTGGCAATAGTTATAAAGGATAATGATTTTACATATTAATCCAAATTACTCCTTATTTGTGGAGGCAAATACAACATATTTTCAAATATTGAGCACATATTTAAAACACTTGATAATACCTTAGTCAAATGAAAAATAAATAAGAATAAATACATAAGAAAGTATATATTCAGGAATTGAATAAAATTTACAGTTAAGTTTAAATTTACAGATGCATTTTCAGCAACTATTTAGTCCAGCTAAGTTTATTCACTGAGTTAAATTCCTCTAATCCAGGAACAAAAGGCTCTTACATTAGATTGTAAAAAGACACAAAGGCAAAGCCAATCAGATGTAACGTATAAAACAATATATAGCAGGTACAATTTACAACAACAACAAAAAATTCAGAATGGTAAAATCAAAATCAGTGTGCTATCTATTAATCAATCAATCACAGCCTATCAGGAATAAATTGCTCAACAGAACACCAAACACATCAAAATATGAATTAAAAATACAAGGAAAGCTGACTTTATAGTAAATGTATTAAAATTAATAGGAAAAAATATAACAATATATTCTTCAAATGACTTGGGTTAAAAAGTAAATAAAAGTTTCTTTTGTGATTAAAGCTTTACTAAGAGATTTACAATGTAAAATAGGGCCTGTGTTATATATCAGGAGTGATTTTTCATCTATTTAAAAAATCTGTCTAAAAGTGACTTTTAACATCTTAACATTCTGTGTATCTTAAAATGACAACAGGGACCCCAAGAATCTGAAAGAAATCTACCACTGGAGAAATTGTAAATAAATTTGAAAATTATTCACTTTAATAAATCATTCCTAAGTCCAATGTTTCCTGGAGTCCTTTGAAATAAATTTATGAGGAGTTGAAACATAAAATCTAATTAGTCTCATAACTACCAGTTTTTGAAGACTTACTATGTTCAAGACTCTAACTTAGATATGTAAGATACATATCAAGTATGTATATATATGTATGTATACACACATAAAATAAAGTCTTAAAATTTTGAATATTGAATGATTTGGTTTCTGTTTTAAGTTAGTATTTACCTCACAAGAATTACATTAATATTGATTTGTATTATGTAATAATGCCTATTACAAACATGAAGAGTTTCGGAGAAGGGAGGAACTTGCTCAATGATAGACCACGTAGGAGGTGATCGAACCAAAATTTGAATTGAAGAAGAGAAACTGAGTTAAATAATGTGGCAAATAATTATCTATAATTTCTGTGATTTTGAATTGTAATGTATTAGAATAATAAAACCAATAGTACTTCTCTTTACCTTACAGTGAAATGTAGAACTTTCTTTTTCATGGACTCCAGCTTTTTATTCGGATATTTCGTTTGATCCTTTTTTATTGATGGTTTCTTCAAAGGAAGAACACGGGCCTCAATGGGGGGAAAGAATAGTTTGGAAAGAGTGTCGGCAATTCTCCACCCAATATATTTGGAGAAAACTTCTTCTCCTACATTTGATGAGATGTTTGTACTATACCTAGTGAAAGGATCGGTTGGGTCATTTAACTCAGCCTGTTGAAAGAAACAAGAAAGGAATCAGTTGAAACAGGATTAAATGGGAGAAAAAAAATCATGTATTATTAAATTTTTTAAAGTATCTTTATTTTCTTTGACTAATATTGCATTTTTCCTGTTAAGTAAAAATAATCTTGATTAAAAAATTGCAGTTTTCCAAAAGATTTCAAAAACCAAAATAGCAAATTTCAGTGAAATAAATAAACATTAATGCATCCAGTCTTGAAACTCTGAAAATTTAATAAGGTAATTTTTATTTTTAATTTGATATACTTGCCATGTAAGAATTTCATACACTTTCTGGAATTTTATTTAATAAGAAATTAAGCAATCAGTTGAAGTAATGTACATTGTATTAAATCAGACTTTTTTTTTACACACAATCTAAACTGTTCTTGATATCAACAGAGCATTTTTTTTTTCTTTTTTGAGAAGGAGTCTTGCTCTGTCACCCAGGCTGGAGTGCAGTGGCACAATCTTGGCTCACTGCAACCTCCATCTCCCGGGTTTGAGCACTTCTCCTGCCTCAGCCTCCTAAGTAGCTGGAACTACAGGTGTACACCATCACGCCTGGCTAACTTTTGTTATTTTTAGTAGAGACGGGGTTGCATCATGTTGGCCAGGCTGGTCTCGAACTCCTGACCTCAGGTGATCTGCCTGCCTCAGCCTCCCAAAGTGCTGGGATTACAGGCATGAGCCACCATGCCCGGCTAAACAGAACATTTTTATAGAGCAAAAATTTTAAGTGAAAAGCAAATAAGAGCTTTGTATTTAGCTTAAATTGAAAATATTGAAGATTTTGATTTTGATTAAATTAAATATGTTCTAACACCAAAGAGTAAAAAAATTACACAAATTTCCCATTATTTAAGCAATATTTATTTAAGAAAAAGCTATTTTCTGAAATTTCCTATTCCTGTTTGTTAATGTCCAGGACCGCTTTTTAATTACTTCTTTTAAAATGGCCAGAGGCATATTTTCTCTGGCTATAATCAGTAATAATAAATGAAAATCTAAGTAAAATGGCATATGTTACCAATTTTTTTATGTTCATGATATGTACATACTATTAACTCCTTTTCTTGTAAATAAGTTGGATACTGCCCTTTATCATTTGTTTTTACATTTTCATTGAGTATTATCTGTCTTCAGGTAGCTCATTACCAGTCACTCAGGATTCATTTTAGATGCATATCAATTTTGCAATACGAAAGACAGAAATAGAAAATGTTTTTCTGTATATGAACATCTAACTTAACCTCTTTCAGCTTCCAAAATTAGGCCTGGCTAAATTAAATTACTGATGAAAGATTTATTATTGAATTATTTAGACAAAAGTATAGTAGAAAAAAATGAGTACAGTCTCAGGATATAGACTGAAAGAAAATCAGTTAAAGCAATGAGAAAAATAGCAAAAGGCAAGTATGCAAATATGTGTCACTGTGAAAGTTATAGAGGACTACATAACTATATAAAGTTATATAGTCAAAGAATAACATGAAAAAAACATTTACAAAGGAGAAGGTAAAAATCATGCAAAGTAAGCAAGCACATGATTCAGTAATCCCACTACTGGGTATATCCAAAAGAAAATCAGTATGTCAAAGACAGAGCTGCCCTGCCATGTTTATTGCAACATTACTCTCAATAGCCAAGCTATGAAATCAAGCTAAGTGTCCATCAACAGATGAATGGATAAATAAAATGTGGTATATATACACAATGGGATAGTATTGAGCCATAAAAATAGAAGAAAATTCTACCATTTGTAACGACATGGATGAACCTGGGGGACATCAAGTTAAGTGAAATAAACCAGGCACAGAAAGACAAATACCACATGATCTCACTTACATGTAGAATCTAAAATGTTGATCTTATAGAAGTAGAGTGGGATGGTGTTTAACAGGGGCTGATGAGTGAAGGGCTTGGGAGATGTTGGTCAAAAGATTTCAGTTAGATAGAACAAACAAATTCAAGAGATCTAATGTACAACATGGTGACTATAGTTAATACAAATACATCGTATCTTGAAAAATGCTAAGAGAGTAGATGTTAAGTGTTCTCACAAAAGAAATAATAACTATATGAGGTTATGCATTTGTTAATTACCTCAATTTGACAATTTCACAGCATATATATATTTTAAAACATCATGTTTTACACAATAAAATTACATGATTTTATTCTTCAGCGTAGAAAAAGAAAATAAAATGACACCACCAAAAAAGAGCTCCTACATTTTTTTACTCAACATATAGTACAGTATTGCACAAATGAAGATATTATGGTGAACTCTGGAATTACTAAGAGAGTTATGAATGAATAAATGAATGAGTAAACAAATGGACCAAAAAACTGATGTCTTCTCATGATACACTTTTTGGTAAAATATACTGTAATCAAAGATAACATTAACCTGTGAGGCAGGAGAATAGGGTCTGGAGAAAGGGAACCTAAAGCCTATTCTCACTGACTTCCTAGAACTAAATCAAAATAAAAACCTCAACTTTCCATGCCCAAGTTAAAAAAGGACCAGGGGCTACTCTCCTTGCAACCCCCACATTTCTGTGTGGCAGATGAAAAACTGAAAGTACCTCTGATTGGTCCTTTCCTGCAATCAATCAGACTCATAATGGGTTAAGTCTTTCTTTGCATAGGATTTGGAATTTATTGTTCTCCTTTCCCCTTTTCCTATCTGTTTCATATAGGGGAGTCTTTTTTTCTCTCTCTCTTTTTCTGGTTTTTCCTTTCCAACTTGGGATGCTTGGTGGGCAGTGCCTAAACACAGAGGCAACTGCAGGTTACTGGCTGGGGCCAATCTCTGGAGAAATGGAAAACGTTTTCATGTGGAAGCCCTTGACTGCTACCACCCAGTTCTAAGGGACCTGAGTCCTTTTCCTTTTTTTCTTTCAGTATTTCTGCAGCTGTTTCCTAGTAGCTCCTTGGTATTTGAGGGCAACTGGCCAGGGCCATGCTCCAGTGTTGTCTGAAGGCGAAGGAGTGCATGGGGATAGCTGCCTTGCCTGGAAGGCGGATGGACTCTTTTCTATCTTTTCTGGTTATAGTCCCTGATCTCTATGTGTGACACAATTGACAGTGGCACAGGGTGAACTCATGTTTCAGGCCACTTAAACCTTCTTTTCTTATAGTCCCTGATTCCTACATGTGACACAATTGGCAGCAACAGCTCCCCCAGAGTGAACTCACACACATTTCAGGTGACTTGAGCCTTCTTTTTTCATGCTAAATTCTTCCCTTCCCCTATTTGACTGGTCAAGGACAAAAGAAACCCACCAACTATGCAAAGAATGTTATAAAGAAAAGAGATGACTGGTTGTTTAAAAAGAGGGACGGGATGTTTAGGACAAGTCAGAGGGTCTGGGAATGTTGTAGATGGTCTGTGCGGGGCATGGGGGGGCATTCATGAAAAGGAATTTATGCAGGAACTGATGTACAATCTAATGTGGATTTCTTGCCTAAATTTAGAAAGTAAAAGAGTTGCTTTAAGTGGGATAGGAAAACCTTAAGGAACACTCATAATGGGTTAGTGGTGGAGGGAACGATTCCAAAGCAATGCCAGCACCCATCTAATGTCGGAGATGTCTGACAGACTAAGACAGGGCTCAAAAGGTGAATGCCCCTGGGGACTCCAGTCAGGACCTAGAATTTTTCCAGGATGCCTCAAGCATCACTCGGGTCACTTGATAAACCCTCCACTATTCAAAGTCCTCCTCTCTTTTCCAGACCACTATGGGCAACTCTCCATCTACTCCACCTGATTCCACTATGGGCAACCCTCCATCTATTCCACCTGATTCCTTGCTTGGCTGCATCCTCCACCATTGGAATCAATTTGATACTGATAATCTAAAGAGAAAACATATATATACATATTTTTTCTGCAATGCTGTTTGGCCTAATTATGAGCTGCCCAGTCTGGAGCAATGTGCAGTCAATGGTAGCCTTAATTATGACACCATCCTGCAATCAGACCCATTTTGCAAGATGCAGGGAACTGGTCAGAAATACCATATGTACAGACCTTCATGACCCTATACCAAAACCTAACAATCTGCAAAACTCCCAGAACTAGCCCCCCCAAAGGAAAGTCCTAAGGCAGAACTAGATATTACAGATGATCCTCTTTTACAAGGGCCACCTATCTTTCGGGGTGAACAGCATCTGTCTCCATACAGCCCCTTGCCAAGTGCTCTTGAGGCTAAACCCCGAACACTGGGAACCCTACTAAGTCCCCATCACACTCAAAGGAGAACATCTTATTCAACTCTCCCTGGAGCCCTGCTACTCCTTAGGGAAGTAGCAGAAGCTGAGGGGCCAGTCCTAGTGCAGGTCCCTTCTCTATAACTGATATACAACAATGTAAGTAAAAGCTAGAAAACTATTTCAAGAATCCCAGGAAATTTGCAGAAGCTTTCCAGACTTTGGCCTTAGCCTTTGCTCTCTCATGGAAAGATGTTCAATTCATTCTAGCAACCTGATGCACCCCCTTGGAAAAAAGATCAAATCTTCGAGGCCGCCCGTGGGGAAGCAGATGATTTATTCACCTGAAACCTTCAGGGTCCTCACCTGGGCCCAAACACAGTCTCCACTATTGATCCTAATTGGGACTATAATACCCCCATGGGAATGAACAACTGGGCTAAATTTCCTTGGAGGAATGAGAAAGGGAATAACTAAGGTAGTAAATAATGTAAATGAAGGGGGGTTACACAAGCCAAGGAGGAAAATCCAGCCATGTTTTATGGCAGGCTGGAGGAAGTCTTTACAAAATATACTACTCTGGACCCTTCTTTTTCCAAAGGCAAAATATTAATGGCACAGCATTTCATTAGCCAGTCCACCACAGACATTAGACTTAAGCTCCAAACGCTACTGATGGGGCCATGAACTAATCAAAATCAGGTTTTTGATACTGCTCTTATGGTGTACAACAATCGTGACCTGGAGGAAGGAAAACAGGAACAGAGTGAAGA